AGGAGATTATAAAAATACTTCATTTTATGGGAAGACCCTCTTCATTCAAGAGAAAACTCCAGTTTTTTTTTAAATGGCTGCTTATTTATTAATTGTTAATCAATCTATAAGACAAATCCAACTTCAGATTAATTCATCATCAATAACTTGCATCCTAAAGGAGTTAACTTAATTTATCATCTCATATTCGTGTACTGATTTGGCCGATTAATCGAACAAATAATCAACTGATTAATCGATTATTAAAATAATCGTTAGTTGCAGCCCTAATTGAGTTAAATAAATATAAATGTATTTAAGCGACGTTTTGAGCATCCAAAACGAGTCCAACGCTTCAAGTTAGCTGCTTGTGCTCCTTCAGGTCAGACGTGTTCAGACTGTCGGGAAGCACCTCTGTTGTTTTCCTCTGGTGGTCTCTGTTTAATGGTGGATGAAATAAAGAAAGTGGCTGTACTTTATTTACTTTGAGCAAGCGAACGTCGTGTTTCACAAGATATTTAATCCACCAGATAATTCAGAGGRGGTCTGTTCAGTGTGTTTCACTCCAGGAGCTGCGAGGCTTTAAAGCTACGTTCAGACTGAACTCTGTTTACTGAACCAGCAGCTGCTGACGTCATCACGCTCGTATAATGCTGCGTTTATGACAAGCATGGAAAACTCACCACTCTTATGCCAATACAGTCACAATGATACATTTAGGTACCGAAACATGGTACCTTTTGATGTTACGTGAATAGGTACTCAGTACTAATAACAGAATTCGGTCAGTACTTATAAAAGTATTGATTTCGGTACCCATCCCTAATATGCATATTGCACAGGCTGTTATCACGATGACGATATATTTTAAATACAAATGTCCATCCTAAACTCCTTTTCACCAAACCGTTCAACCGTTTCTGGCCAGAGGATTCTTTTAAACCTCAGGAAATGGCATGTGACAAACTAAAACACAACAAAAAAATGCTGTGAGTGGAGAAAAAAGGACAGTGCCAAGTTTCTACAGCTTGTACTTCCTGTCTGCTCTAGATTCTGACACATGTACAAAGCTGTAAATGGAAACCACAGAGATTTTAAGGCAGTGTACCATTTCCGCTCATGTGCCATCCACTACAACAGAGAAACGAGAGAACAGAGCACGCTGTGTGAAGTCAAACTAACAAGCTGCTGCCACGGTGTCTGCTGGTTGTTATTTTCACTTCTGAAGATTAAAACTAAATATCAAGGCAAATCAGCACAATTTGTCTTCATTTAAATGAACTAAAGTCCTCGACAAAGTATCTGACGGGGCAAGAGTGAAGGCTGTGTTCGCTCCTTGTCATGTTTGAACTGGAAAGTCTTTTCCTGAGCAGAAACTAACTTGCGTTAGTGTGTTATCTGTTTTGAACTTGTGCAATGACTTTTTCTCTTTTGTTTAAATCTAAGATCAGTGTTTAAGGTCTTTTTTTATAATTAATGTGCCTTATTTTAAAAAATGGCCATTTGAGAAATTGATTTGATGTATTTTAGGAAATGTTTGTTTGCCAAGAGTTTATTTCAGATAGTATAATTTACAGTGTCACTTGGTTTTAGTGTTGTTTATTTATGTTATGATCTTACCCATTTTTGACTAAGAATAATAATAATAATAATAATAATAACTTTCAACCAAAGCGATGAACAGGAGATAAAATCACAAATAACATAGAGGTGAATTCACAAAAAAAAGCAAGGATAAAATCACAGAAAACTAGATAAAATCCCAGAAAGCAAGAGATAAAATCACAAAACAGATCAAAACAATTAAAAGATAATACTGTCCTGATGCATCTCAGTAATCCAGGTAAAAAAATCAAAAAGAAAAAAATTGTGTAGGTCTTCGGGACYGGTTCTTCTCTAATGAAARGTTTCGTCTCTCCTCCAAGAGACTTCTTCAGTCTGAGAGTTTCAGGCAAAATTCAGGCTTTTAAGCCCTGCCTCCATGTGACTGATACTCACATCACATGGCTATTGT